ACTATTAGATTCGTTGGATTACTATTACTATTTTATTAAGTTTAATATAAATATTTAGTATATCTTATGTTTTTTTGCAAAATTAATTGGTATTATAAGTTTAGTTTAATTTTTTATTAAATTATTGAATATTAAATATAATATATACTACATAAATTAAAAATATTATGTAATATTAAAATGTGACTAACATGTCGTAATTTAATATTTTTTAGAATTAACGTATCAAAATATCATGTCGTATCATATCTCGTATCTCATATTGATGTCGGTACAATATAGCTGAAATCCATTATTCTTAATTAAAACAGAGTGTAAGCAGATTGTGCCCAATGATCGTACTGATAGGCTTAAAGGTTTCCTCCTAAGCGAAGCAATTTAGGTTCATTGCCAAAAACCTTCACCCTCAACGTTATAAAGAAAATTAGATTCATCCAAATGGATGGAAAATTCTTCTAAAAACCAAAAAAAAAAATGCATTATTCTTGGGCATAACTAACATGGCTCAAAAAAATAGTAAGGTTATATTTACAAACATTTTATTTATAAATTATATTATGTACTATGCGTAGTACATACTACTTGAACATATACTATAAAAAGAATATATATAGTATAATTTATAAAAGTTTATAAAAAACAAAAAATTTATAAATATAACAAATTCCAAAAAGAATATTATCACAACTCAAATTTCGAGTCATGACGTGTGCACAAATTATTTGATAGTGAGGCAAGCCTAACTAGCAAATAATGTATAATTAACTATAATAATTCAAATCATAATAACAATATATATAACAATGTAAAGTACTAGACTTATCACTAGGAAGCAACAAAACTTGCTCAATCAAATCAAATGAAGGGACTCAAAAGTCAAAAGCTATCCTCTTGCCTTTTTCTAAAAATACGAGTGTTTGGATTGCCTTATAAAAAAAGCTATTTTTATGTCTTATTTATTTTAAAAGTTCTTTTTATAAAAGTTATAACTATTTAGATTTTTAAAAAAATATTTATTTTTTGAACAAAAAAATTGGCTTTTGACTTTTACTTTTTTGAAAAGCTAAAATTTTTAACTTCTGAAAATAGTAAGTTTTTAGCTTTTTTTATGACTTATGTTTTTTTTAAAAGCAGACATCCAAATGCACTTTACAATAGAAGTGCTTTTTTTCGGAAAAAAAAAATAACTTTTGACTGAAAAAAACTCATCCAAACAAGCCCATAACCACAAATTTTTTTTGGTGTGGGCATAACCACAACTTGAATGAGTTAGAATGCAATCGTGAGCAAATAACGAGAATTATAGCAAGCGGGACTTGATAAAATATAAAAATATACTTAATCCAAACAGTAAAGATAAAAATTAAACTTCCAAATCCAAACCAATTTAAATAACATGAATAACCATTAATTTCTATCATCAAACTCCTTTCAAACCTTAAATAACATAAGAGTTAATACTTTTTCATGACTAAAATCTCAAAGTGTTCTAAATGGTGAGTTCATCGATTTTTCCTTATCAAGAAACAATCCTAAGCATACTTTGCAAAGGAACATTCATCTAAATCACTCTCTAACTCATCATATCATTAAAATTTCAAATTCACTATTCATCAAAACCTATAATTCTTAAAATTTCATGGAAACAAGAAAACAGAGGTGATTCTTTCCCACAATGTACCCAATAATGAAGGGAAAAGCTTACTTCAAGCTCTCATGGCCTCGAGCTCCATCAAAACTTATCTTTTCCATGAAACTCGAAATCTTAGGAGAAAACAAAACTCTCTACAGTGAACCTCACTCAAAAATATAGATACCAATGGATTCATCTCAAAATATTCTTCAAATTAGGCTTTAGCAACACTCAATTTCGTTGACTCTAGCTCTAATTATGAATTTTGGAAGATTTCAGTCAAGTTTTCTCTTTTCTCTCCTTTTTGTCTGTGAAGGTTCGAATGGTAGCAGGAGAAAGTGAGAAAATGATAGTGTTTTCTCACACTTAAATGGAGTTACTTAATTCAACGAGTATAAACTTATTTATCTTGTTCAGTTGACTTTCATTCCAACTATACACATTAGTCTAGAATATTTTTGTGGTAATATTTATAATTTTACTTTTACTTTTTGAGTAACTTTATTCACTCGTATTTTTACCCCTGAACTATCATTTTTAACTCATTTCCACTATATGGCTTTAATTTTCTCATCAGATTACTACTCTAATTAATTATTCATTAATTATTATTATTCCATAATAATTTCATAAACTCCGTACTTACCGGTTAGGGTCATTATACATTGCATTCAAGGGACTAAACGGATGTGATCCCCCAATTCTACTTAGATCCAGTTGTTGCGAACATGGCAGGCGCACTAGTCATACAAGTAATCAAGTGTATGGGTAAGAATATCGTTCCCACAAGGATAAGATTTCAACCACTAATTCGTTATTTTTGCTTAAGTTGGACAATTTGATCAAGAAAATTGAATGAAAACTAAATTAAAAAGCAAAACAAGAAAAAAGTAGTAGAGTTTCCTAACAATTAAGAAAACGCAGTTAGTGTTTCAATTTCTCCTTTATGTTCTGAATTAGAAACCTTAATTAAATGTCCTTTCTATAAAGTCAATCGGTTCCCCTAAGTTAATTAAGATTCAATTTCTTGATATCCTAATTGTTTACTCTCTTTAAAGAATCATAGTTCCTCGATTGTTCTTAAAATAAAATAAGTATTAAATCCAAGAATCATAAAGATTGCATAATTCCTACGTTTGTCCCTAGCTAGAGTCATTCGAATTAATGATGAATTTTCCAAACCCGATTCATGAACCAACATCCCTATTGCTATACACAAATCCTAAATAATTTTACAAGAACAAGAACTCATAGAAGGCATGAAAAAAAGATAAATTCATTTAATAGAAAAAGGAAAGATTACATTAAAGATTATTCAAAAATATAAAGACCTAATTGGGTTCCATCTAACCCTAGCTACAAGAAAACTAGCCTAACATAAAAGAAACAATAATGCAAGAAAAGGTAAAGGTTTCCCCAAACTTCATTGATGTGATGGCATGGTGAATTTTCACGGTTTTCAACATAATCTTTTCTCTAACTCGTTTCTGGATCTTCATTGATGTGATGTAAACTACGCCTCTGGTGTCAATATATGCCAAAAAAACTATGTAATTCCTCTGAAGAATAGCTTAAATAGTGGACAAATCATTGTTTTAGGTGAAAATCACGTAATGGGCATAAGATGGGTTGCAAATAGGCATTAAAACGTGCTGGAGTTGACAACAAACACATTGTTTTGTATTTTGAGCATAACGTGAGCTATACATGTCCAATTGATATGATCTTAATCTCATTGGAAAGATAAAAAAAAATATCTACAACTTTTATGCAGAACACAAGATCCAAATCCATTATTTTTAATACAAAAAATTAGCCGAAAGACAGCTTTAGGGAGATTTTCGCTAAATCGTTGCTCCCCATTTATTACTTTAAGTCCTTCTAACTTAACGATTGCTCCAATTTAACTCAATTGTCTTATAAAACAAGCAAGAATCATTCGCATGAGTCAATAATTCAAAGTTAATTCTTTTTAGTCAAATAACTTTAAGTTTTCATGCTTTTAATTATAAGAGTGATTTTAGTCCTTTAAAATATGATAAACTATGAGTTTATCACCAGTTTTGTCATCTCTCTAGTTGATGAGGTGTCTAATTTACTCTAAGATAGAGACTCCTTTTTTCTTGAAAATATTACAATCGGTTCATTGCTTCGCAACTAATCCGATTCGGGGCGGTCCAGGATTAAGATTTTAAACCCCTCCTAAAGGTGGTATTGGAGAAATTCGAACACATGCTCTCATCCCCACCTGCTTAGCTCTCATACGCCAACTGAGCTACCACCATTTGGTAACACAGAGACTCCATTCTTCATTATTTGTAGCATCATTTGTTTAAAACTCAAGATAGAATGAAATTCCGAGCTGAATTACATCGTTGAGAGATGGAATTTGAAGTGGGAGACATGGTATATTTTAGCTCAAACTTATAGAGACTACTCTTGCCAAGAAAACCAATGACAAATTGAGCCTGACAAGGTTCTGTCCAAAATTGGCGTTACAACATATCGACTAGAACAACCTCAAGGGTGTAGAGTCCACCCGATTTTTAATGTATCCCTCTTGAAGAAGGCCATTTGCCCATCCACAAGTTCAATCATTGCCTCCAATGTTAGCTGATGATTGGGTTCTGAGAATATAACCAAAAGCAATGCTGCAATGGCGCAAAAGTCCCAATGGTAGGACTGAGGTATTGCTCAAGTGGTTAATACTCAATTCCCATATTTTCACCTTAAGGACAAAGTAAAGTCTTGGGAGAGTATTGATACAACACCTCTCATAAAAGTCTACTCTAAGAAACGCTTCAAGGGATTAACTGCTACTGATTACTCAACCAAAGGAGGGAATACTCTAGATGTGAATTTGGAGGACAATTCGACTGGAAGAGAGAGATGAAATTGGCAGACTGGAAAAGTTTTTTAGTGAAGATATAAATAATTCTTATCTTTTACCCACTTAAATTGGAGACTCGAATATTTTACATGTAGATCTTTTCTTCAATTAACATACAGAAAATCTGGACAATTGTCTGGGCCAAAAACTTTTTTGTCTTTTTTAATTTTCCGATTATCTGAACCAGTTTTATCACGTTCCTCCTTTTCATTTTCTCTACACCACCACTCCCGTGGAAATGGCGAGAAGCCCTAGAAAAGTATGTTTTGAGTAAAGTCTTACATGGCAAAAGAGTGGGTGCAGTTCCATGCACGTTCAAGCTCAAATATGCTAAAGACAATTGTCTATTTAAAGGCCTTAAAGTAAACCCCTAAATAAACTTTCAGATCACATTACTCTTTAAAGGTAAGCCAACCTTAGCATTAAAAAAAAGGCGTATTTAAGTAAATAAGATAGACTTCAACTTTGTAATGATAAAAAAGTTAGACCTTTTATGGGAAAGCATGGCCTATCCGAATTGCACTCCTAAATCACACATTAAGACCAGCAGAATGACAATGCCAAAACAGCAGTTCTGAACATGTAAATGTAGCAGTTACCAGCGGCCTATTCTCCAGAGCAATGTCCTCAACAAATAGCAGATGTAGACGTGAAGAATATCCATGATTCTAATTTTTCATCTCATTATGCAGTCATCTACGAAAACATCTGTATCATTATTGAATGCTTCTTGTTTCTCAATTACAAAACATTAACAAATACACAGTTATCACGCCATACATTGAAGTTGACTGATGGAGTTTATTAAACGAACACCGTTTTACACTTTCACAATCGACTTCTTTGGGCAACCGGCTTAAAGCTGGCAAAACCAGTAACTTCCCTACCTGTAACCAAGGTGTTGATGTCATACGTGCCTTCGTAGGTATAAATAGGTTCTAAATCACAGAATGCCTGCAAGAGAAGATAAGAAAAACAGAATAAATGTTAAAGAAAAAATTGACCCTATTTAGGCTCAATTAATAGCTAAATGTACTCTATCAGTTACAAATCATGGAAATGCTATTCAAGTGTCTACAAGTTATTATTTCCTTAAAAAAATATTAATTTAATTTAATTTAATTATATATAGCATACTAAAGTCTTCACTACAAAATGAAACAAAGTTCATCAGATCATTAAGGCTGGCCATCAATCCTCTTAAACTCACCTATTATAATAAATTTTATTAAGAGATCCCACATCTACTAAATATATGTGCAAAGAACCCTTTATAACAATTGAGCAATCCTCATGCTTTACAGCATGGAATCAAGACTTACCCTGGCCACCCGCAAATGTACAATCCTACAAACTTCATGCTCCTAATAAACTGTCCTAGGCATGAGCAGGGTTTTTAAGAGATCCTACATCTGCTAAATATATGTGCAAAAGTACCCTTTATAATGATTGACAATCCTCTCCCCCTAAGCTATCTTTTAGGATTGAGTAGGCTCAATCATTATTCTAACAGACTTCATGCTTGACGATGTCTCCTCATCAACATCCCACTAAATTACCCAGTTTTAATCTTGATCAGATTGGAGGATTAAGCATATACCTTTGCCACAAGAAAATCAGCCAAAATTCCATTGCCACCCAGCAATTCTCTCCCCAAAGCAGCTGTTTCTCTTGCTCTCAAGGTGATCCATGACTGAAACACGATGACAAAATTCATTAGCAGGCATCTACCACAATGAATAACAACAACAAAGTAGTATTACTTGTTTTGTTTTTTGGGAAGAGGGGCAGGGGGTTACAGATGTGACATAAGTTAAGAAACTACCTTCCCCGAGCTAGCATGACCTGGAGTCATTTTTCCACTCTCATACAATTTGCATAGGCGCCAACCAACAAGAATCATAGCTTGAATATTACCGAGCATCTGGACAAGTTTCTGTTGGTTGATTTGAAAAGCAGCTAGTGGTGCTCCAAATTGTTTCCTCTCCTTTAGATACCTTTTGATCACTCAGAATTTAGAATGATATGCAGTGAAAGCTTAAATATACTAACATTCGAATTATGCAATACCTATGACACATATCATAGATGCCCATCGATATGCCAATAGGTTGCCAAGCAACCATTACACGTGAAACTGCAAGTACCTGTTTTGACAGTGCTAAAACAAATAAGTAATGCTAATGTTAAAAGCAAGATGCACGGTTGACCAATACATAGAATAATTAACTTATGCGATCAAGATTGATGCAAGGATTATAACTGCATCTAGGTTCTTAACCAAATTTATCCAATCTCCACATCTAGCAGTATAATGAGGATTGAGGACACAAGTGGAATATAAACCTTTAAAAATAAAAATCAATAAATAAAATTCTCAAGATATCACCTTTTTTTTTTATTTTCAGTTATTTTAAGGCTACAAGAGAAAAATATTCATCAGGAATATGCATGGGTTCTCATCCAAGTAACTGTAAGTAAATTGTAAAAATATTACAATTTACACCAATATGTTTAATTTTTTCTTTTTTCTTTTTTTTATTTTTTTCAATCTCTTCGTATCTTTCATTTGAGTTCATCTACCACCGATCCCAATTAGTTTGGGATAAAGGTGGTGTTGATGTTTAATTTCATTATCTGATCGTTCAACACTAAATCGCAGAAATTATACCAAGCATATAACTTTCTAGGCTTTAAATTCATGCAAATATTTGATGGAGGATTAGACTAATGCACAGAGAAAGGAAAAACAAAATAGAGTCTGTTTGGATGGGTTTTTCTTTCTCCAAAAGCTGCTATTTAAAAAAAAAGTCATCCTCGCTATAAACTATTATTTGGATGTCTGCTTTTGAAAAAATGAAGTCATAAAAAAAAAGGACAAAATCCTACTTTTTCTCTAAGCTAAAATTTCTAGTTTGGAAAAAAAACTGAAGTCAAAAGCCAATTTTTTTTTTTTTAAATCCAAACTTGCCCCAAATAATATAGATGAAAAGTGATTTTTAATTTTAAGTTTTAACATCCAAATAATATTATTTAGTTAAAAGTGCTTTTCATGTACTTCATCCAAATGCAAAATACCTTTAGCTTTTGAAAAAAGTCCTAAAATAAACAAGGCATAAAAAGTCCTTTTATCAAAAGCTCATCCAAATTGGCACATAATTTGGCTGCAAACCAGACAAGTAATGATATTATACATAAGTCATAACCTATAAAAAAATTGCAGAAACATACAAAAGTAAAGCAGCTGGATCAAAGAAGACCCAAGAACCAAGATTGAAATTTACTCTAATGCTTCATCAGGTAATAGAAGTTTTATCAACAACCTACTTAAAGCAGTCCTTTTTTGTTGAATTCATATGGAATTATTGAATGAACAGCAAAGAAACACCAGAAATGATCATACCTTGTTTGTGTCTTGAAAAGAGTTGACTCCTGCTATTCTGTCCTCATCAGGGACAAAAACTTTTCTCATGACTATGTCTCCATTTTGTACGATCCTCAGTCCAATTTTATTCTCTATTTTTGTCACTGTTAATCCAAGTGCATCCTTTTTTACAATATATCTGAAATATTAGGTACAAGGAAAATATGAAAATAAAAAATTATTTGTGAAGCAGGACATAACAGGATCACGGAAAATAGAAGCTTGGAGGAAAAACATATATAAATATGATAGAATAATCTAAACTACATATACAGTCTCACTATAATTTTTCAAATGCTATATTAGTGACTTTTAGGGCCATTAATATGCTATTATTGTTAATAATTTATTCTTCACTGTCAAATTGTGTCCCTGAAAATAGAAAGAGAAAAATATCTCTTCACTAGTCCTTTTGTGCATGTGTGAATTCTACATGCCACAGCAGGCATACATCAAGTTAACATTTAACCATATCCGATATGTGTCAATTATTGCATTCATTCCTTCTTTTCTTTTTTTCCTTTTTCTTTTTTGGGGTATAAGAAAATCCATGAAATTTGATAAATAATTGGATCTCCATGGCCTTCATATGAGCTGGTATATTATAAATAAGCTAATATTCCATATATAAACACGCATATACATAAAGACTAAACAATGAGGGTAAGGACTCAGATCATATACCCATTTATCTGATTTGTTGTCGTATTCCTAGCAAAGATAACCAACAGGTCAGCAAATGTACTGTTTCCTATCCACCGCTTTTGGCCTTCCAGGATCCAACCTCCTTCCACCTGATCATTTCAAAGTAAAGCAAGACAATATTAATGGCATTATTGAACTTTGGAACAATTCAGAACAGTGGAAATATGACTGACTAAAAAAACAAATAAGTCAAAAAGAAGCAAAATGCATCTTGCTGGAGAAGCAAATAGTAGATAAGAATAGATGCACATAAGGTAAAGCACCTTCGTTGCGGTGGTCTTCAAAGCACTGGCATCACTGCCATAGTCAGGCTCAGTCAAAGCCTAAAGTTAAGAAAGTAACCCATTACAGATGTGGTACTTCAGTAAAAATGTAAAATGATACAATGTCAAGAAAGTCAACTGACCCAACATGCTATAGTTTGTAACTTTGCCAAAGAAGGCAGATACTTTTGCTTTTGAGCTTCTGATCCACACAATGCTAAACTTGACAGTCAATCATAGTTATAAAACATCAGGACCTATTGGCAGCAGGTCATCCAATATAAATGAAACAACTAAAATTTAGAGAATTAAGAAACAAAGGTATTACCAATAGTGAGCATTGCCAAGGATGAATGGACCAAAATAAAAGTTGAACAGCTTGCATCAACTCTTGCAACTTCTGCGATAGCTATAGCACTTCCAGTTACAGAATGACCAGGACAACCATAACCCTGAGAATCAGAGCTAGCTAAGAACTCCCTTCACCATATGTTATACCTAAAAAAATAAATAAAGGAAAATTTGCATAGAGAGAACCTTGATTGTGCCACCTGCAATACGCAATGCACCAAGCTTTGGAATAACATGAAATGGGAACTTGGCCTTCTCCCAATACTGACAAAAAACAGCAGCAAGATGATGCGATTGAAATAAAGAAAAAAAAAGAGCATCATGGGAGAATAATTTCATATTGTACTCAATTTCATCCAAACAGTAATAGTATTATAGAAACATGCCTCAGTCATTATTGGAGCAATTTCTTTTTCCATACACTCTCTTACTTTCTTCCTAATGGCCTGCTCCTCTGGTGTCAATAAGTCATCGGATTGAAAATAATCTGAAGCTGTACTTTTCAAACATCAAGACAGATAAAAATAGAAGTGAATTCCTGAACCATATCTTGTTTCAGTCAACATTTATACAAAAATCAACTTGCCAAGTCATGCAATATGGAAGAAAAAGGAAATTAAAGAATTAGGAAGGGAAAAAAAACATATTTTAGAAATTAGAATGTAAATCAAAACTTATAAAGCCTCAGATAATTACATCCAACCTTTTCACTTTCCAAGAACAAAGACAATCAACATGGTAATTTTAGCTTGGAGGGGAGACTATAAGATGAGGGAAGAAAAAGGACAAACTTAAGTTAAAGGCCTAATTGGGCAAGTACCCCAAAACCCACATTTAGAGTTTACGAATGAGAAAGAACGAAAATTAGCATGGATTTGTTGTCTAAATAGAACTCCTAATTAATAGAAGAAATTGGTGACAAGAAAAGCATTTGGGAGAGCACTCTGCAAAGCAGGAAACTCATGGAACCACAATATAGTTGATATGTATTAATATGATCAAAATGTATCTATTCAAAAACAAAAGAAATAGTGAAATAAATGACTTTAAGCTCGGGCTCAGCCTAGGCATGCCTGGTATTGAAGAGGCCTATTGCAGGATAGCCAAAGAAAGTGAGATAAATCCTATTTCATATTTAAGAAGTACTAAACACATAATTGTATCCAGAGATTATTAGATACTGAATGTATGCAAAATTGTGTGTGAGTGTGTGTGTGTGTGTGTGTATGAGAGAGAGAGAGAGTAGTTTGTGCAATGTTCCAAATGAATAAAATAGACATTTAATTTTTCAGTATGGTAAAATTTAAATGTCAAGGCAAATAGACAACAAAGTTATTACTTCCAGAGTGGGCAGGGGGCTCTGCCTCTCAGCACCTGAACTATATCTGGCCTATGAGCCATACTACCAGAGTGGAATAATATATGATTTGTAAAAACTAAAAAAAAAAAAAAAAAACACTCCCCGTTAAACCCGACTAGTGAGTGTGGGGTGGAGGAAATCTTTGTACGCAGCCTTACCCTTACATAATTGCAAAGAGGCTGTTTCCTGGATTCGAACCCATGACCTTTCAGACATGAAGGAACAGTTTTACCACTGCTCCGGTTTGCCCCCTTTAAATAAGTATATTTTTCCCTAAGCTTCTAGTTTTGAGAGTACCTACATAAAAAGCCTCTTAAATCTTAATTCACATGCCCTAGTCGATAACATCATTGTTTCATCTAACTAACATGACCTAAATTATCAAACAAATTTCTTACTGCAAGGAGGAAATGCAGATGCTGGAGTTGCTTGTGGAAATGCCATAGAAACATCCAGTGGTGGTAAATTAAAATAGGACGGCATTGCATGTTTGACAGGATCATCTGCGCAGACCAAAGCATCCATTAAAATGCACAGCAGCTTAATTAAACAATTAAAATTGGTAAAAATGCTAGAAATATTCAATCAATAATACCATATATTAATTCCCACATATACTGATTGAATTCAAATTATCAATCAATTATATATTAGAAGAAAGGAGAAAACAAAATAACAAATTACTGGAGCAAATGAAAAGAAAACAAATGTCACCAATACTTGACTCTTTTGGTTCCAGATACAACAATAACTGTGCACCCAGTGGTTAACCGTTGTATCAAGTAGATATTCTTGTATAAACCCATTGCACCCAACTTGAGTGCACTAAGCAAATAAAATGTTAACACATTATTAATACACCAGTGAACATTACATTAGTTTAACAAGAATTAATGATGTGTCAGTTCAACCAAAGTTAAGTACAATAGGTTTATACAAGAATCTCCCTGTATCAAGATCTTTCAAAATAAACTAATTGCTTCAAGCAAAAGACATATTTGCATTAAAAACAAAATAAAAAATTCAAATCCAACTTTCAAGTGATGGCAAGGAACATAACGCAAATCAAAACTCGACTATAATTTTCTCACATAAGCTTTAAAACCAATAAACAAGATTAAAGAATTTTGTGTAGAAACAAAAAAAAAAATATCAAAAGAACTGCGAGTTTAAATTGACTTATTTTCCAGAATTAATCAATTTTATTTTGCAACTTCGTAAGAGATGTTTTGAAGAAAAAAAAATAACGATTATTTCCTATAATTAATCGATTAGAATTGGCGAGAGTCTTTGGCAAACCAAACAGGGATTTAACAAGCTCATATTTCCTTTCCAATACCTAGACAGTGTTTCAACGGCCAAATATACAAGACCCCTTCCAATTGGGAAATAGCGTATACGTATCATGGTTAACTATAAATAAGAAACAAATTTTACCCCAAATAATAAATAATACAATAAGGAACAATGCTCTATTACTCTCCGGAATTGAATTCAATAAACACAATCCACATACTAGTATATTCTTAAAAAATAGACAGACAAATCAAACTAGAAAATCAATATCCGCGAAATTGGAATAACGACGTAAATCATTGAATTAATCGAACGAGCTCAAACAGGTAAAATTGCAACGATGAACGAAAAAGGAACCTGGATTCTTAGAAGAGAGGATTGTCATGATTGTATAGAGAGAGAGAGAGAGAGAGAGAGGACGGAGTGTGATGCAAAGGAGAAAATAAAACTGTAGATGGAAAGAACAAATGATTACTGTGATAAGATCAAGCAAGAGAAAATAGAACGCAATTATAAAATGGAGGGAAGTGCACGCAAGTCAAGGTGATCTCGTGTTCCCACGTCACCATAATAGATTAATATGGCAAAAAAATTATTTTATATATGAATTTAAACTTTTTCCTGTAATAAGATATAATATAAGAGGAATGCATCGGTACTGTTATAAGAAAACAAAAGATTGTCATGTAGGCACAACATTTTAGAAAAGAAAAAATGATATAAGGAGAGAAAAAAAACAATAGATGGGCTCACAAAAAACTGTGTCTGTTGGAAAAAACAATTCCTATAATAGTAGCGATGGATTATCTATAATATAAAGGCTAAATAATATTTTAAATTAACACATTATACTTTCAATTGTTTTGTAGAGTAACTTGGAATAATTCAATGTGTATACTAGCACATCGTAGGTTATATTATATATAGAACTATTGAGCATATGCAATCTGAAATACATGATGTGGGATTATGTCTATATTGTTTCTACTATACATATACAACATCTCCGTCAAGCTGAAGCGTATAAAACATAAGTATTAAGTTTATTAGATATGCACTCTGTTCGAGGATCGCTTAAAGACTTTGTAAATGCATATGTTAATTAATCATTCGAGCGTACAAAACTGATCATAACTTCACCAGCAAGGACCTTCTCTAGAACAAAGTGACAATCTATCTCGATATGCTTGGTTCTTTCATGAAACACTAGATTGGAAGAAATATGTAGTGTTACATGGTTATAACAAATGAGAGTTGCTGATTCAGTATCTCCAAACTTGAGCTCTCTAAGAAGTTGCTTAAGGCAAATGAACTCACAAGTAGTAGTAGCCATGGAACGATACTCTGCTTCAACACTTGATCTGGCAACTATATTCTGGTTCTTGCTTTTTTAGGAAACCAAGTTGCCTCCAACGAAAACCAAATATCCAGTAATAAATCTCCTATTAGTAGGACAACTGACCCAATCGGCATCAAAGTATATGATAACTTTAACATGACCTTTATCTTCATATTCAACCTTTTCCTGGAGATGCCTTGATATACTTGAGAATATGAATGACGGCATTCCAGTGTTCTTGACATGGAGAATTAAGAAACTAACCTACCACAATAACTGCAAATGAAATGTCAGGCTGAGTGGTTGTGATGTAATTCAGTTTTCCAACCAATCCTCTATATTTTTCAGGATCCGAAAAAGGCTCCCCCTGGTTCGGTAAAAGCTTGACATTTGGATCCATAGGGGTATCAACAGACTTAGAATTTAGCAAAGCAGTTTCTTCAAGAATATACAGAGTATATTTTCTCTCAGATATCACAATTCCATCTTTAGATTGGGCTACCTCGATTCTGAAGAAATATCAAAGTTTCCCAAGATCCTTGCTCTTAAAATGATGATATAAATGTTGTTCCATCTGGTAATTCTTTTGCTGGGATTTCTCAGTTACAATCTCTAGGCCTTTGAACTTTTAATTCTGGGACTTCAGATCATATTTCTAGTAATAAGTCTTTATCCACCTATCTTTGTACTATGGCCGATGGGTCTTTGGTCCAATCACGTGGGCTCAACATGGTTCTTTTCTTCCCCACTTTATCTTTGGATCACGTTCTCTATGTTCCTGATTCCCATTTTAACTTATTTTCCATTAGTCGTTTAACCAAATCCCTTGATTATGTAGTTTCCTTTACGAAAACTTTTGTCATTTTATAGGATCGAAGTTCGAGGAAGGTGATTACGAGAGGATGTGAATCTCACAGTCTCTATCAGAAATTTTCTTCTTCTTCAACTTGCTCTACTGTGGACTCTACCCTCACTATTCATACTCGTTTGGGTCATCCAAGTCTTGCTAGTATGTTCCCAAGTCAGTTTACATTGTGAATCATGTCAGTTTGGGAAACATACTCATAGTATGTTCCCAAGTCATCTTACTCATCAAGCTTTGTCTCCTTTTTCTTTAGTTCATTCCGATATTTCGGGGCAGAGTTGTCATCCTTCTTTTTTGGGGTTTAAGTATTTTGTTACATTTATGGATGATTATTCTGGATGTACTTGGTTATTTTTAATGAAAAATCATTTTGATGATGTTCTCTATTTTTCAATTATTGTATAATAAAATCAAAATTCAATTTGGTATTCTTATTCATACTTTTCCTAGTGATAATACTTGTGAGTATTTATCTCATCAATTTCAACAATTCTTTTCTTCTCATGCATTCTTCATCAAATATCTTGTCTTTATACACCTCAACAAAATGGTGTAGTCGAGCGCAAGAACTGTCACCTTATTGAGACTTCTCGCGCATTGTTAATTGTTAGCAATGTTCCCTATAAATTTTGGGGTGATGTTATTCTCACCGCTTGCTATCTCATTAATCGCATGTCATCTTCTGTTCTTCATCATCAGGTACCTTACTCTGTTTTGTTCCATCATCAATGTTGGACAAGTGGCCTTAAAATCAAGAGGAGGGTGAATTGAGTTTTAAAAATATTTTCGCAAAATGCCTCATTTTCTTTCTTGAAAACGAAGTTCTTGAGTTTATATGATTTGACACAAGTAAAGTCTAAAAAATGGAAATTAACACAAGCAAATAATATGCAAAATATGAATTTAAATATGCTCAAGTATTCTAACAATGTTTATGTAAAAGAGATAAGGAGTTAGAGAGATTGCAAATAAGATATACCCTAGTTCGGTCACCACCACCATGACCTACGTCCAGATTGAAGCTAATCAATCAACATATCACTACTGGTCAAGCTTCAAGGGTGCTTGACAAACTACTACAACCTTCAAGAATTTTGATTCTTGAAACCTTTACACTTTCACTCACTCTCTGAGGCTATGAGCAACCTTTTCACTAGGGTCTCACTACCCTCAACTCAAATAAACAAAATGAGAGTGTTTAGAAATGGATTTATACTCTTAAAGTACAGATTATACAAGTTGAAGCTTATGGGTATTGATCAATGACATAATAATGAAGTTCAAAAGAATTTTATGATCAATATGATTAAGAACATGTAATGAATGTGTTTGTTCAATAAGAATAATCAAGAATAATTGTAAAATCAATGGAACAATGATTCTTGTGCTTCTAAATCGCAATAAATGAGTTTATATAGGTGTTGGTACGAAACTAGCCGTTTATAGCCATTGGAATGCTTACTGCCAAGTAAGTATTTAAATACTTTTCGTGCAGTATTCGAATACTTCATCAAGTATTCGAATACTTTTCATAAGATATTGGAATACTTTATTCTCAGCACAAGTATTCGAATACTAGTCAAGAAAGTATTTGAAGTATTGCAGTTTTTGAGTTGTAAACCATTCCAATCTTGTCTCTAATCACTTTTAGTGAAATTCCTTGACTTGATAAAATTGTTTTGAGGTTACGAAATGTGTCAAGGGTTTTTTTCATGAGTTATTCAAAAACTTTCAAGTGATTAGTGTCATGGATAATGCATGCACATAATTAAGTGTCCTTTGAGCTCATTTATGCACCATTAATCAATTACCTTTACATTTAGATCTAAGCCCCAAGGATATACTAGTATCTTGATCTTTGATCTTGATCATATCTGATGATGGTTTTGCTTCTGTTGTCTTGCTGAATTACTTCCTTGGACTTTTTGATTATTGTGAGATGTATTATCCTTAAAGTCGCTTCCAAGCTTGTTTGTTATCATCATAACTTTTGTATAATTGAGCTCTTCATTTTGAGTGCATTGGTTTCACAATCAACCTTTATATCCTTTGACCCCATATGTCTTTTGTTCTACGTGTTTTGTTGATCATCCGGTCCAAACTTGGACAAACTATCTCCAAGTAAAGAATCATTTCAACTCAAAAGTTTAAGCTAGTGGGTGAGGCTACTTTAATAGTTTTATGTATCTCTAACACGCCTCCTCACACAAGAGCCCGTTGGGATTGAAAGGTGGACAATGCACAGACTCACCTACTTATGCTAAGAAACTCAACAAGACTTAATTAATTATTAATTAAATAGGGGCGGTGAGGATTGAACTTGTAACACCGAGGCTCTGATACCATATAGAGTAACAAGAGATGAAAGGAATATTGGAATAAATCTGTGTGTGTAATAGCATAGCGGAGGTTATATTATATATAGAACTACTGAGTATACACAACTTGAAATACATGATGTAGGACTAAGTCTAACTACTACTTCTATATATATATATATATATATATATATACAACATGTTTTAATTAATCCCCTTTTATTTTTTTATGATAACAAATTAATACATCTGTTGAAATCTTGACTAAAATGATAACCTTAAATTCCTAATTTTATTCCCCTTTTCAAATTTGCAGTTCACAATATCCGTAATGTAAAATGCATACCAAAATTCAAACGAAAAACATGATGGCGTATATACACAAAAACACAGGTTGTAAAATTGTTTATGTGCAGAGCTGCTGCATCTTGAGTTTTTTTTTTATTTTTAAACTTAGTGCATCCATCTTTGGAGTTAAGCACATTTTGTTACTCGAAGCTGAATGGAATGTGTTTTGTTGTGTATATATGGTGTCAGTATATTGGCAATGATGCCAATTTTTATTGCATGAGTAATCCTAACTTGCTTGATGCTTAATTGTTGAGGTAATGTTTTTCTTGACGTCAATGCACTTGATGAGATGGGAAATTGTATAAATTAGTTGGAACAGAGCATCAAAGACCTTAAGAGCAGTGATGGGAGCGGAGAGCTTGCCATCACTTGTGGGCTCCTACTAAGTCAAAAGAGGAAGAGTCGAAAAAAAAGTGGGTTCATTTTGTTACGGTACATTTTTTGTTTACAATAGTGGTTCAAAATTCATATATTTGCGATGTGGCTATGATTGCACTTTCTGGTTAGGAGATAAAACTGTCTTATTATTTTTAAAAAAATGACATTGTTAAACAAAATTTTATAACAAATATGTTAATTTGTTATTATCAAGTATAATGGGTTCATTGAAATAATTATAAATACAATGTGGTAATTAGAAACATGATCAAACATAATAGGGGTAAGTTATATTTTAGCCTAATATAAAAGTGTGTAGGATGTGTTAGAAATGTCGCTTCCATACTCAAGAGGGGGTGAATTGAATATTACAATATTTTCGCAAATCCTCTTCTAGTTTCTAAATAATCATTCCAAGCACACTTTGATATATGAAAAACTAAATAATGTATTCAAACAATCCATAACATATAATCTATCATAATATAGAACATATACTGGCATGTACAAGATATCAAATAATCAATTAAAGTGCTAGAAATAAAGAGTTCAGAGTTTAGAATATTGCAAACACAATATATCATGGTTCGGTTACTACCACTTGTGACCTACGTCCAGACTGAAGTTAATCGATATCAACTTTTTCACTAACGGTTAAGCTTCATGGGTGCTTGACAAACCTTAACAATCTTCCAAGACTTCAGATTTTTTGATACCTTATAATCTCCAAGTTTACGGGTACTTGGCTACCTTACAATTTTTTCCAATTTACTTATATATTTGGCTACCTCTCAAACAATAGGTTTCATAACCCTTTCAACTCAAGAATACAATAAGCGAAATGTTTGAAAGTGAATATGCACTCTCAAAGTGTGGATATATAATTTGAAACACTATGAATATATGAATTTTTAAGATATGAGCTCAAATATGTTTGATCTTTGAAAACTATAAAATAATAGTGTATAAGCTCTTAAAGTATGCTTAATATGTAAGAATGATGATCAATAAATTTTAGGGCCGTTGGGAATGTATATATATTGATTTCCTCCAAAACTAGCCGTTTATATCTGTTATAGGCTTTCTGTGTCACAGTGGTAATAGATTACTATTGTTTGATAATTGATTACCTGATGTGCAGGTAATCGATGCCAAACCAGACAACAATAATATTGTTTCATATTTTAGGCATAACTTGAGTTATACTTGTCAGATTGATGTGATCTTGGTCTCTTTGAAAAAATAAAAAATAGATCTACAAATTATACGAGAACACAAGATCTAAATCTATTATCTTTGATACGAAAAATTGTCCAAAATACAGAAACCAAATTATTCAGCAAATTTTAAGTTCAAATATATTCTAGCTTGCTTCCAACAATTTTTTATGAAAGATCTTAACTTGGTAAATATGTTTTGAAGTTATAAACATGTCAAGGATCTTTTCCATGGGTTTTTCAAATCTCTTTAAACAATTTAAAAGGTTATGGACTATGAAATTTGAAAAACATGTTAATTTTGAGAAAAACTTTGAGCTCATGCAATGCAATCTATCATATACCCTTAAATATAAGTCTAAGTCCTAAAGATATATTCTAAATATGATTTTAGATTTAGCTTCATGTCTTCTGTCTTAGAGTTTTACTTGAGCTTGATACTTTGACTTGTTCGAATGCCAATGCTTGACACTTTGTTGATTTTGATTATTTTTCACCATGATTGTGATATTGAGCTTCTCTTAGATGTCGTTCATGGTTTGTTGCCTATGATATTGATTTTGCTCTTCTTATTCTTCTTTGTTGCTCTTGATCCATTGCTATCTTTCTTCATAGCTTATCCATGTTCTTGTCACTTTAATATCTCATTAAAGTATAAAATGGAATGATAAAAGAGAGAGAAAAAAACATGTGGCCCTATCTCTTGAATGTGTCTATAGGAAAAAAAATTTGTTCTGTAATATTATACTTCTATTTCTCTTAAATATAAATTACTTTATTTTAATATTTAAAATATAATAAAAATAATAATAACTCACATTATTTAATTAATATATGTTTAATATTATAGAGTAAAAACTTTATTAAAAAAAAAACACTTAGGGGCCGTTTGGTACACAGATTTTTTTCGGATTCCCGGAAAATTGAATTTTTTTAAATTTTAAATTTTTAGATATTATCGTAAACTAAATGTAAAAATCATATTTTTGAAAATTGAAATTTTTGGACAAATAAAAATTTCTCCTATACTTACCCACCATTTAATATTCTTCGCATAAACAACTTAATAGTCCGAATTCCGATCAAATTACAACATTTTCCTTGTCGATTCAATCAGATAAAAGATGAATACAGAAACATAGGATTAGACTTTGTAGAGCCTAATGGGTCGACGTCAATCCATCTCTATCAAGCTGAGTCATTTTTTATTGTTTCCCGAGCCTAATTATGGGTTAGTCTCTCTATCATGATGATGAGTAACTTTTTATTGTCATTTTCGGTGCTGAATCAGTGAATTCATTGTATTTAAAAAGGGGAGAATGTATTTTTTTATGTTGCTGGAAGCAACTACTCTTCTGTCATTAAAATTTGTACAATATTTTTTTAAAATAAAAATAAAAAAATTTCATGGCCCTATGATTTCTCCATGTGCAGGAAAATTGACGTATCTCCCGTAACAATAGACACTTAAAGCCCATTTAAAAAATCTAAAATAGACTACAACTCATAAAATTAAAGTAGATAAGATTATGACTTTATCTATTGGGCCAACCCATGAAAATCTTTTTAGTTGGATTACGTATTTCTAACTTGACAATAGTTATCTCCAGCCCGTGACAATTAAGTAAAATTACAAAAGAACAAGAAGCATCCTGTGCAAAAATATCAATATTTCTACTCAAAATAACATAAGAAAAATGGAGATGCGGGGTATCGATCCCCGTACCTCTCGCATGCTAAGCGAGCGCTCTACCATCTGAGCTACATCCCCGCAGTAATCATATTTAGATTCCTTTGAATTTCATAGCTTCCTGCTGAATGTTCATACTAAATTTTTTGCTTTCGGTATTGCTATTGAGCATCGTTGTAAGGCAAACATATAAGACAAAAGGGTTTTAGCAAGCCAATAAACAGAAGAGTATGCAAATACTTATACATGCTCAATTTATTACGCAATAATATTGGACCAATTTTCCTTTCTAAGAATAGCCTCATGTAAATAAGCTACTCTTGTTTATTCATAATTTTACACTTAACTAATGGTTCTGATAAAGTTGAGCTAGACTGAAATGAAATCAACTTCATGAATGAGTTATATAGAGTGTATTATTGTTTCAAGGTAATGATAATTACAAAAATCCGATCCTTCAGAAACTTACAGAAACTAAAATGGCCTTTAACATTTTCCGTTTAAAATCAGTAGGAGGAACCACCTGTTAATTTTTTTTCATGTTCATAATAGAGAATTGTTCATTTTTCATTAATCAGTTAAGTTAGTTCTCTAACATGTTTAAGAGTAATGATATTTATGCAATCTTTTCCTTTAGAAACTTTCATATATTGTACTAGTGGCTCAAATTCAAGCAGCCTCACTGGAACTATCTCCTTTTAAACTCAATTGGAAGCACCCGTTTAGTTTGTTCCTGTTTGTCAATAGAGTAATAGTGCCATATATCATTACTTTATGTTAACTAGTTCCGTAACCTTGACATTTTTTTTTTTTTTAATAAAATCCAATTTTTATAGCTAGAAAGAAAGAGAGGCTTCAAGAGTGAAACTTAAGAGAAGGGCTTAGTAAAACCAATGCTTGCTCAATCAATGGCTTAACTAACAGTGTACATAACAAATAATACAAACACTAAATAACAATTTGGTTTCTGTATCATTCATTTGGTATGCTTCAATTCGTGTCAGATATCTTTGTCAGAATCTAACTGCCAATTAGCATTTGGGAAATCTGGAAATCAGCATCTGAAGGTTCTAGACTAGGGCCAGACAGCATCTTCAAATACCATTAACATATCTTGTATCAACCAATCTTCTGCCAACTAGTTCCCTCAACTCAATTTCACCAGGGAATCTGTTCTCCTTCAGCTTGGAAAAAACCTATGATGTACAAAGGAACAAGATGATCTTGAAGTCATGAAAAGTACTCAAATGTTGAAGATAAATTAGAACACATGTGCAATATGCTCTGAAGCTGAATGCTTCCATATATGACTAGTTGAGTTCCAGAGTTTCATCCTACTAGTATAGATGTAAACACTAAACACCATCATCAATAAAGGACACTAAATTAATTGCCAGCACTAACCAAGGACTTACCAATTCGCCATTGCAATATACTTCAAAAGCACCAGAACTCTGTAGGAAGGATTGAAGGAAATTTGCAAGAAGCCAAGTGCTTGCAATACTTCTAAACTTATTGGCATGCAAGGAATAGTACCATGGAGGTGGTGCCATTCCCAATCTGGGGAATATATGTTCACCTGCCACTATAATTGCAATAATTCCTGTTTGCGCCACTGGAATTACTTTGCTGAGAATGCGCTTTGGAAGTGGAGGTGGATAGTTAGCCAAAACAACATTAATTCCAGGAAATGCAGATTCCAGCATGTTTTTATCAGTTACTGCAGTTCCCCTGCAGAAAAAGTCATTCAAAATTACACAAGATACATTAAGGTTTGTTAAACTTGCAGATATGTGGATTCTACATAAAAACAAATTAATGATAAATGCAGCTAGAACAAGAAAAGTGTAGTCCAATTTTTGAAAATTTACTGGCTATAACACCAGTTAAATTCTCACACTGTTATGGAAAGATTAATATTACCACCAATATAACTCTCTATCATCAAGAATCAAAACTTTTAAAAGGACTAAAGGAGATTTGACCATTTACCAAAAGATACACTGTAACCAAATGAAAAGTGAAAATTTGAATACAGTTCAACAATGTTAGAAGGAAAGCAAAACATGCTTTCCATATATTAGTATAACTAATCATTGACTAAATAGGTCTATCTATCTCCGAGAGAGACAGATAATTGAGTGCCAAAAGATGTTGTGATTTTAACAAATAATTAACAATAGATACCATTTATATATGCATGACCTTGCTTAATTCAGCATCCACACAAGTAATATTTTCAATCATCTGTTTTTGCTTTTGTTTAGATTTCATTCTCCATCATTTCCTTTCAAATACCAAGAACTGAACCCCAAAAACATTAATAATCATAATGATAATATGTTACCAAAATAATAATAATAATAATAAATCACTCCTACTGGACCCGTATCTATTAAATGAAAACCCCTCAACTTAATTAAACAATTAGATCAAAATTAAAAAAAGCAAGAGATTGGGCAAACTTGTAAGAACAGGAAGTGCAGAAGTCAATGTTCACAGTATTGCCAACCCCAATTAGGCCAATGCCACTTTGTTTCTGCATTGATACAAACATATCAGAAAATAAAAAAAAAACCAAAAATGAGAAGAAGAAAAAAAAAACCAGAAAAAAGAAAAAGAAAATTTGTATAAGCCATGAATACAAAATCGTTTCTTTTGAAGTGGGAAACTGAGGGATGTGAAAAAACCTGCACGGGGAACTCAAGGGGTTGCTGAAGATGCGGTTGAGATTGAGGGTTGGGTTGAATGGAATGGTGATGGTGATGTTGATGTTGATGGGTTGGTTTGGGAGAATCTGGTGGAGGAGCGAAAAGGTTAATAATGTCAGAGAAGAAGAGGAAGATTGGTAACCCAACAAGAAGAATTTGAGTTCGATCCATTGCAAGAAGATCCACAAAGGAGAGAGAGAGAGAGAGGAGCTAGAGCAGAAACAGATGTAGTATGCTTTAGTGGATTTTATGAAAAATTAAGGTGGAAGTTAATAATGTCTTTCGGAATTTTATATGTTGCGCTAACGAAATATATAAACTATTAGGGAGGATATTCTTACTATCAAAGTTTTTCACTATTAATTTACTACCTATCTAATCACTATTGGATCAAAGAGAGAGAATGCTAAAAAGTTTTTGAGAAAAGAGAAAATGTTGATTCAATGATGATTAAATAAGTAGTGAGTTGGTAGTAAAAAGTTTTGGTAGTAATAATATCCTCCTCTAAGACTATTTGAATAAGTTTTGGCTTAAATATACAATATTTGGATAATGACTTATCATCTCAGTGTAGATAAAATTATAATGATAAAACTTCTCATTGGAATTGTTCGATTTGAATTCTTGATTCAAAAGTAAATCTTTGAAAATTCAATTTCCAACTATTTAAATCTATAAGACTTTCATTTCATGGCTTATCAAAAATTTAAAAAAATATTAACTAAAATATTATTATTTTATTATTTGTAATTGTTCAAGTAATAATTTATATTTTTTTCTTATTTAAAACATATAATACGATATATGCTAGCTTATATATATCACCTCATTCTAAAATAGGTTAATGATATTTTAAATACAATTTTATTAAACTTAAACCTGTTTTATTAAATATAATAAGAGAAAAGTGTTTGTCATTTTAAATGACATAAAGTTATGTCATTTTAAGAGAGAGATAGATATAGAATAAATTTTTTATTTAAATTTTAAATTAAAAAAAAACTATCAACTTTCTCTTTTCCATGATTTCTATTTTCTGTATCTATTTCTCTCTTAAAATAACATAACTTATGTCCTTTAAAATAACAAACACCAAACCCATATAACAAATAGGTGATGTCGCTTGTTTACACCTCTGATAATGATTGACGCCCCTACCAAAGATAAGTTTTGTCTTTTTTGTAAATAAAGAGCGGCTAAGTCCCAGAAACAGAAAGAAATTACAAATCAGAAACTAACAAGCTAGACATATTTCTAGTATCAGCAACTATAAGTTCCATCAACTGAGGAAGAGGATCTTTAAAAATCTTGAAATAGAGATTATTAGTCTGTCCAGCTTTAGCTAACCAATGAGCACATTTATTGTTTTCTCTCTTGAGAAATATATTAGCTATAAATTACCAGTTGGAATAAATGTAGTTTATGGTGGATTTAATATATTTCAAGTCGGTGAATTATTAATTAATTAAGTATTATAGGGTAAATAGTTTCACTCATTGACTTATATTTTCTTATTTATATGATTAGAATCTAATAATATTAATTTAAATATTTTATTTAAGTAAATTGTATTGAAAATTTTAAGTTATTTGTTTTAATACTTAGCAATTAATTATGAGAATTTATAAATTCCTGTTGTCTAACTCTAGCTCAATACAAGTTATTGGGTTAGTCCAAATCGGGCCCAGTGGCTGAAAGTTATTTTTCTTCAATTTCTTTGACCCAACTCACACATCTTATTATGTTATTCAAATTAAGGTAAATTTGACCCATTTGAAATCAATGTAACCCCTCAAAGAATATGGTTCAATTTCACTTAAAAACTATAAAATAAAATAAAGGTAACTATCACAAGTTGGCACAAGGCGTTGTGGTGAGAAGCCATTAAAAATTCGTTAAAAACAAATAAGTGAAATAGAGTCATCAATAATTTTATTTAAATTAAAAAATTGCAAAACTGATTTTTAAAATTTAAGATTAGATTCGAAAATCTGATTATATACAAAAATTGATAAAATTATGTTTAGGTACAAGGCTTAGGATAGGGAATCGCATCTTTTATCTCTTTAGCTTGCCACTTATCTTTAATTGTTATTTTTAAAAGATATGGAATCATAGCATGCATCCAAAACAAAAACAATCCTTACAAATCAATTGGGAACAATTCTTTTCAAAAAGTTAGAGAACTTAAAATAAATATATACATTTTTTAAAATATTATTTTATTATTCATTGAGTGACTCTCACAAAGTTAACTATTCAAAATAACATCGTAACATTAAGCAAGGAAGTACGTTACGCAACTGTGATTTATTTTCTATTCAACAAAACCTCGTCATCTTTTAAGTAATCCTATTACATGACATCAAAATCCTAGTATATTATCTTAATTAACTTAGAAAAAGTCCAAGGTTTTGTTAATGGCATAATGATTGACATTATGTGCTTGTCAATATGAAAAGTGAATAAGTATTTGAAGACATCTATAATTCTATCATTTTTTTTTATATATATATTGAAATTTTTAAATGAGTAATTAATAATGACAATTTTGAAGAAAAAACATACAAAATTAAGCATGTTGACGAGCTATATAAAACAGAGAATAATAATATAAATGAAAAAACATTTAAAACTGGAATCTGACGAAAGATTAATGTATGCAAATCAAGCATTTGACTTAATATATTTCTCAAGAAAAAAAAATTGTTACATTTATAACAAAATTCAGAGGGTTAATTTATCCTTAAACAATATCATATCGGCCAAATCATCTTGAATGATAACTGCTCTCATGATGACTTTGTTTTTTTCTGCAGTTAGTTAACGTAGATAAATTATCTGCAGTAGGTTCAATACGACGTCGTTTTGGGACGGAAGTTACGGTGTTTTTATAATTTTAATTTATTTCAGAGTTATCATAGTCTTTATAATTATAATTTTCTAATCTTTTAATCCCAAAACAATGTTTTAAAAATAAATATAAATAACTTATCTACACCAATTACAAAATATTTTTCTGTTAATTTCTACCCTTTTTTATCAATAAATGGAATTAACAAATAGAATAACAAATTAACAAAAGTGTCCCATATGCACATGGACGTCACCTCAATCACCATTCACATTAAAGCACATAGCCAGGAATGAAAATTTGGTTAGTTATAATGATGATACGTCATGGACCAAAGACTTCCACTTCGTGCCAATAAACAAAAGTAAAGGCATAAAAATAGGAGATTCCACTTTCAAAGGCAAAGAATAGTGAAATTTCATTCCACTTGCGAATGGGAAACCCAACAAAAGAACGTGGAAATTAAAAGTTAAATATGGCTGAGTCTCTCTCTCTCATAGACTCACACATGTTGCATCCTATAGTATTTAAATAATCGATCTTAACATGAACCAGAAGAGACCCTTTTCTTCTTCTACCTAGAAATTGAACCCTTTGGATATACCCTTTTTGTTAAAAGGGTGGGAGAAACCTGAGAGAAAATTAAAGCACAAACGTGAGGCTCTTGTTGAAACACACAAGTGCATACCTATTCTAATATCTTAAATTTCTCAACTTGTTTATTTGTTTGTCCTAGAATATTTGCTCTCTCTCTCTCTATTGTTTTGTAACTTTACCTTTTTGTCCTCCGAGGGACTTGGAAGTAGTAGGAACCAATTGACAAACCAACCCCTTTGGGTAAAAGCTCCATCTAGGTCTCCAATGGCAACATGGGTTTTATCAGAATGTGGCTTAAAGCCTCTTTCTCCTGTGTTTCCTCGACCTAGAACAGGAGCCATTTCGGGCCACAAGCCTTCAAAGTTTAGATTTTTGAACACAAACAAGGGGTTGGCAGATCTGAAGATCCAAACAAGAGGTTTTGCATGTTGTAGCTTTAGGGAGAGAAACTGGGAATTGAAAGTGAGTGTTCCTTTGAGGGTTGGCACCACTGAAGGAGAGGAAAAAGGTGGAGAGAGAATCAATGGGGTTGAACAAGAAGTGCCACAATTTGACCCTGCTACACCACCACCATTCAAATTGGCTGATATTAGAGAAGCCATTCCTAAGCACTGTTGGGTTAAGGACCCATGGAAGTCCATGAGTTATGTAGTGAGGGATGTCATTGTGGTTTTGGGGTTGGCTGCTACTGCAGCTTATCTTAACAACTGGTTGGTTTGGCCTCTTTATTGGGCTGCTCAGGGAACCATGTTTTGGGCTCTCTTTGTTCTTGGTCATGATTGGTAATACCCAATTTCATCTCTCTATTTTTGTTTTCCTCTAATGCAGATTTATAATTCAATTGTTGATTGGCTTTGTTTTTTGGGGGTGGAAAAATTGGATTCTTATTGTTAGTTTTGATAACTATGACTGGTGCTTTGGACTTTTCAGTGGTCATGGAAGCTTTTCAAACAATCCTAAGCTGAACAGTGTTGTTGGCCATTTGCTTCATTCTTCAATTCTAGTACCATATCATGGGTGGTATGCTACTGCATAAATTGCTATTCTTCTAGCTAGTGCTTTTTTTGTCTTATCCTAATCTGCATCATTTCTAGTCTAGGCTTTGAAACTGATAGTTTCATGAATTGCACAGGAGAATCAGTCATAGAACACATCATCAAAACCATGGCCATGTTGAAAATGATGAATCTTGGCACCCGGTGAGCTGATATTCCTTGTTCTGGTTTTTAGGGGAATCTGTTTTATGTCTCCATTTTCTAATCCAAGAAGTTTAATGTTAATTTTGCAGTTGCCTGAGAAAATCTTCAAGAGCTTGGACAAATTAACACTTATTTTAAGATTTTCAGCACCTTTTCCATTGCTTGCTTATCCTATCTACCTTGTAAGTTATAGTGCCTAATAGTTTTACCAGAACTTGAACATATATTGGTATTAGATCTTGTGTAGAATTGACATTTGTTATGATAATCTTTGAATTCAGTGGAACAGGAGTCCTGGGAAGACCGGTTCTCACTTTAACCCAAACAGTGACTTGTTCGTTCCCAATGAAAGAAAAGATGTTATTACTTCAACAATTTGTTGGACAGCTATGGCTGCTTTGCTTGTAGTTTTAGGATTTGTAATGGGTCCAGTTCAATTGCTTAAGCTTTATGGCATTCCCTACTGGGTAAACTCCACCTCCTTTTCTAACTATTAATCAGACACTTAATAATAATGGGTTTTTCTATCTGAATCAAAATGAAGTACTAACTAATTTGACTTTACTTGAAATTGAAGATGTTTGTTATGTGGTTGGATTTGGTGACTTACTTGCATCACCATGGCCATGAAGACAAATTACCATGGTATCGTGGACAGGTAATCTTTCTTTTCATGCAAAATGTTTGCTCAACTCGGTCTTTCCATCTTTTGAATAACTTCAGAAAAAGTTGTAATTAACTAAAATTTAATTTTCATCAGATACTTTCTTTCTTGTTTATGGGAACTTGGAAGTTTTCAAAATTCAATCTTCCTTCACAGTTTTATCCTTTCATTATGTTGGACAGGAATGGACCTACCTTAGGGGTGGCCTTACAACTATTGATCGTGACTATGGATGGATTAATAACGTCCACCATGATATTGGAACCCATGTCATTCATCACCTTTTTCCTCAAATCCCACACTATCATTTAATAGAAGCAGTGAGTACCCTTCTACTCTACTTTCAATGTATCAAAGATTATAGGAACTTTCATGAATTGTATAAACTTGAATTTGTCTTTGCTCCACGTGTAGACTGAGGCAGTTAAGCCAGTTCTTGGCAAATATTACCGGGAGCCAAAGAAGTCAAGCCCTCTTCCATTTCACCTCATTACAGATTTGATAAAAAGTTTGAAGAAAGACCATTTTGTTAGTGACACTGGGGATGTTGTGTACTATCAAACAGACTCTAAGCTTAGTGGCTCTTCTACAACATCAAACTAAAGCTTTGATTTTTTTTCCTCTTGAAGACATGCGACACAATTCCTTAGCTCTGAAGATTGTGTCTGTGCATGTACTCTCATTGAGTCCAAAACCTGTCAAGAGTTTAATTCCTCATTAGTAAAGGGTATTAGAGTTCTATGATGACAAATTCAATTTGTAACTAAGTGCTATTGAAAGCATGAGCAGGGTAAATGTGGTAAATGTAGTGTGTTTTTCATTGAAGAGCAAAGAGTATGTAAATTGTTTATTCTTGATGAAGGAAGAAATACTTTCATCAAATGAATTATGTTTTTGCTCAAACTCAATCTCGAAAATTGAATGATAATTGCAAAGAATTGAAGCAACTGATGTCTTTTACTCCTGTTGGTCATCTCATTTTTATTCTCAATCAATGGTTTGAATTTTCTATGATGTTGAAGTCACATATTAGGCTACCCTATCATGCACTTTATTAAAGGCTGAAAACATGGTGCGTGCCTCCACTAGTGTCAATGCTTTTCATATAAATTCATTTTCACATTTCTATGATTCAAAACATGATAGCTAATAGCCACGAAACTCAAGCATTGCTGCCCCCACATGTGCTTGTTTATCAGTTGTGACCTGTGATCAGAAGATATGGGACCGCATGTTCATAGCCCAAAAACTAGTTACGTCTCAAGCATTTTCACCATTCATATCATAGCCATATCAATATATCATGATTCATGTCCAAAAGGGAGTACATAGAGAACCGCCACACAAATTTCATATCTATATATGAAAAAATGTAAGTACTTCGAATAGAAAACTTGAACAATGAATAAATTATGTGCCAATAAAATAAAATACCAAAGATAAAGCTTTTTTTTTTAAACCCAAAACAACGTTGTTTTGGGATTTGGGGAAAAAAAATCAGGGTATTTTAATAATATTTATAATATAAGAAAAAAGTAAAATTTCTAAAATATTCAGTTTTTTTTTTCCTTAAACCCTAAATCAACTTTATTTTGGAATTGTTGGAGATAATTTTATCTCTCGTTGTAAGAGAAATATTTTTTCAATGAATTATCATAAAATTGGTTTAAATTTGGGGGAAACACTTCTCATGTTGCATGAGAAGTGTTTTGTCATGTGATGATCTTTCGATTTGTGTACAAAATTTTATTTATTTTTTAATAAGTGCGAGACCCATCACTAGTTGTGACATAACATGAGAAAACAATTCTCATCTAATATGAGAAAATCAAAGCCTTTAAATTTGTGACTATAAGTATATTTTTAATTAAATTAATTTAACTGTTAATTTATTTCGCATATATGACATGTTTAAGACCAATTATATGTGTAAGCTAAAATCGCGATTTTACATAAAATTGACGGGACGATCAAAAATCGTAAAACATAAAATTGTAATATAATTTTTTTTATAAAAAATCATAAAATTGCAGTAATAAATCTACTACATGTGTAAGTATAATTTCTATTCTAAAAATCATCTCTATATGATTGAAGAATCAATGATAAAGGAAGTTACGATAAAGATAGAGGATCAAAGGAAGGTTGATTAGAATTCTTTAAAGTTAAAATGCTACAGATAATATAAAAATCGGAGTAGCTAATAGTGGATTATTGATTGGGATTGGGATTGGATATTGGTAGCGGATTGTCCCCTTATCTTTTATTTTTCTGTATTCTCTGTGTTTCAACTACTTATATTTTGATTTCATAAAATTTCGTAATTGTACCAAAATAACTAATTCACTCATTGGTTCTTTGAGTAGCTAAACAAAGCATGTTTAGACTATAGTTGGGGAAATGAGATGATTAGGTCGATGTTGTATCCAAGATTTAAAATTCGTACCTAGCCTTAGGAAGATTTAGGAGATATTGACCCTTAATAATTGGGATAACATATTATATTTATATTTTGTCGTGCCTACTCTATTTAATTTTACATATACCGTTATATCATAATCTCAATTTACCTTCACAATTTCTCTATCTTTCTACTGTTGAATAAGATTGTGATATGACAATATAAATAAAAGTAGATAGAATAGATATGAAAAAAAAGAAAGATAAATATAATATCCTATCGCTAATAACTAATTCCCAAGAGAAATGGTGGGGAAATGCAATAACTAAATGGTGGGCCCGAGACAATGTTATAAAAATCAGATTGACGCGACTGCGTCAATCCAAAAATTGGTGAACTGATTATGTAATCGGTCTGATTTTCATATTAGATCAGCTATGTTATAGAATTGGTGTGATCCGGTGCGAGCCGACTGATTTTTGTAAAAATCGGTGACCCAGTCCGTTCAACCGGTGACCCAGCTCAATTCATAAAAAAAAGGTTTGTTCTCATAATTGATGCCTTTCTTTTTTTCACTCTCATATACAAATGGTTTGTTTTCTTTTGAAATATTTGAGTGATCTGTAGCTTATTAACTTATATAGATTATGTACCTACAACACTAATATTATCTTAGTTATGTAATATGCAGAGAATTTTGATTTGATTTATAGTTAGAGATGTCGTCTACTGAACTTGAAACACTAGTATCACAAGTATTTTATGTTTGATTGATCTTTTGTTGGATAATGATATGTAATTTATTATTTTTCATATTAAAATATTTGAAATTGTTCATTTTTTACAGGTATTTAAGTATATTTATAATTTTTTAATATAATTTATAAATTTACATATACTTACTGGATTATGCGGTTGAACCAGTGACCTACTAATTGAACAAATGACCCAATATCTGAACTGAGTCAATAATCGGGGCAGGTTTAATAAGATTGGTATTGATATGAGATAATTAATCTTTAAATTTAGGATTGCTAGCCTATGGGCCTAGGACCAGTCAATGTGTTGGCAATTGAAGAAAGTTTAAGTCACATGAAAATTTTAACCATGCGGTGATTTAAATTACCTAATAATTTACTTATTTGTAATCAAACTTTCTCATTCAAATTCACGGTTAAATGTAGTCCAAATTTGTTTATTATGTAAAGCTTTTAGAAAATTGTAATTAGCTTTTACATGCCAATCCTGGAGGTACTTCTCAATCCTGGAGGTACTTCTCCCATTATAATTTGCACCGAGTTTAATCCACAATTCAACCATGTTTGGTCAAAAAATTGTTAATTTGTGTTTAAACAAGATTTTTATTTTTGGTTGTGTGTGTGTGTGGGTGGGGGGTTTCTTATATTATGGTTTCAGTGGAAGTGGGAAAAAAAATATTTACTTTTCCATAATGTCAAATCATGGTTTTCAAACTATAATCCAAATGCCCCACGAAAATTAAGTTTTTAAATCTGCTACAAAAGTTTTTTTGGTGATGGGAATTACTGAGAATTCTTGACTAGATAATAAAAAATATGAGGTTGTGAATATTGGTTAGAGAATAATAATTAATTATGGTCCTTAAATTATATTTTAGACGAATTATTATGGTAGCCTTGATGTGGTTATCATACTTAAAAGTGGGTTGTTAAAATTTTAATTGATGGTTGATTTCATATTAAATGTTTACAACTCATTAAAATATAAGCAGTAGCTAATCATATGCATATTGCATAATATACCCTTTTAGGAATTACACAATAAATAAAATAAATAAGGAACCGTTAACTAGAAAATGAGTAAATGAAGCAGTAACACAATTTGTAAGTCATTAAAAGCATAAAGCTGTATACCCAAAAAAAAAAAACATAAAGCTGTATGAAAAGCTTTTTAAGAAAGCGATGGGCTTAAATTCTTTGTCAGCCTTCATAATGAATCGTTTATTTTATTTTTACGCTAGGGGTGTGTTTGGTACAAGAGAAATTTTTTGGTGACCGGGAATCATGATTAATGGGAATTCAGTAGAAATTGAGTTTACTTGGAATCTTACGAAAGATGTGTTTGGTTCGCCAAAATATTACCGGGAATATTAGGTAAAAATTAATGATTCCATATTTGGTTTAGAACGAAATATGACTTGGAATATGAGGTTATTTTACAAAAATAACCCCAAACTATTTTTATTTTTGTAATTGATAGATTGAGTCTAGATTTTTATGTGTATTGGGGTATTTTTGTCTCAAAATTTATTGTTGTGTTTTTCCTTTACTTGGTATTCTGATTGGTATTCCGAATTACCATATTATTTTTGGTAATCTGAATAGTAACTTTTCTTTATAAATCAAATTACCGGTAATCCTTGGATATCCGGGAATCGTAATTTATTCCTTCTACCAAACGTGGTAATTACATTTACTAAAGAAGGATTACCGGTAATCCTCTCCAAAAACTTGAACCAAACACCCCCTAGAGGTATGGATTTTGTGGTAAAAATAAGTGCTTAGGGGTTTCCACTACACGAAGTATCCTAACATAAACTAATTTGATCGGATAATTGATTAAAATGTCACGATTTACCAACTTTTTTACTTAAATGTCACGCAAACAGTGTTATTTCTCAATCTGCCACGAGGGCAAGTTCGCTTCTGACACAGGCGAACTCGATTTGTTGACGTGTCATATTTTTAGTGGATAACAAGTATCAAATTTTGAAAAAAAAAAAAATGAAGGTCGCCTACATGGTAGGCGAACTTAGTTAAAAACAAAGGTCGTCTGTGTCAGAAGCGAACTCTGACACCACCAGCTTGCTGACACATCATCATGCATAGTTCGCTACTGCTGCAAGCGACCTTGCCTGCGTGACAGTTTGAAAAATTAATTCAGGAGTGTGGCATTTAGGTAAATTTGTGTGGGAACAGTGGCACAATGGTCACTATTCCAATTTGATCACCGTGACCCACCGTCCTACTGAAAAACCAAGTCCAAATTGATGCTTAAAATCTATTATAATGAGTTAATTATATTGGACCTATCAATTTAACACTTGAATCATTTGGTTCTATCAATATAACCCTTATGCTATTTGGTTCTTTGAGTAGCTTCGTTTTGGATATGTAGGTCACTTATGCCAAGCCCTCAATTAAAGTTTCCATTAGCCCATGAAAAACGGTTGAAAATATTTAGTCAGGATTAACAATATGGCTTGGTAATTTAAAAGTACACATCTTTATACAAATGAAAATTATTTATGACAGAAAACTAAATTGAAAGGTTTATTTATAGTCCACAAATTTTCAGAAACTTTCTTGTGAAAATAACTAAAACCAATGTGAAGATATTTTTTCTTTTTGAGAATAGTACCAAGATATTTTACTATCGCATTAAACATATGGCTACTAAAGTGACCAACTATTATCCTCTTGTGAGCAAATGATGCTGGGGTTGTCACAGTTAATACTTGATAGAAAATCCATAAAGCTCACAAAATCGGTCTTCAAAGATTTGAGAGCTTAAAAATATAATAGTATTTGCTCAATGGGTGTAGCTCAGTTGGTTCCTTAGAGCTGAGTTAGTGGGGTTAGACATGAGTTCGATTCTCGCTGAATGCATTTTTGGGGAGGAGGTTGAACCTTTAGCCATCACTGACCCCCCGCACTTCAGATTAGTCCTATAGCCGGCTCAAAGAGTCGAAGCTTGTGAGAATACCGAAGAGCCACCTCGCTTCAAAGAAGTAATTAAGGTTGGGTAACTCCAAATATATATGTAAAATGATCCTGACCCATATATATATATATATATATATATATATATATATATATAATAGTATCTAGCATAGCATACTTGAAACCAATACTTGAAAATTATGCATACATCACAGAGGATAACAAGTCTAAATTGTTCAGTTGTGGGGCGGTGGGTCAATTTTAGGGATCAGAGCCACATGATCCTGATTTAATTGTTTAAGCACACCATTGAAAAAAAAGTTTTTACTAAAGTGAACTTCCTTTTAAAGGAGATTGAAAAAACAATATTCCAGATTTCACTATTAGCAACAGGAAAATTGAAAACATTCTCAAGTTTGGTGTCTATACATTTTTAATTGCAACAACCTTTAGGTTATAAATTAAGGGTTTCAATTTTTTTATACAATAGTAAAAAAATTTCTCATATTATAAACATATCTTATGGGTTCATATCTATTAAAAAAAATATATTGTATAAAAATCGAAGAAAAAATAAATAATTCTTCTAATTATTGTTAAAATCTCGATTTATCACTACGATTTTACGTTTTTACGATTTTTTTTTCTATCAAAACGATTTTACTAATATTCCAAACACTTTTACGTTTTATGATTTTTTACGATTTTTTTATATTACGATTTTATGTTTTATAATTTTTTAATCCTCTTCCGATTTTATTTAAGATCTCGATTTTAATAATACTGCTTCTATGAAATGAAAAAATAATTTCTCATAAATTAATAGGACCCATCTTAAATAAGCTTACCATTACAAAGCCAACACAAATTGGGCCAATTCAATTATGCAAATTCCCACAAACCCTACAAAACAAAGGAGTCAAGAAAGTCGGTGCAACTCTTCATACGAATAGTAACAGCATTCTCATTGGTGTGGACCACATTGCTATATCCAACCTCAAAAGTCAACAACTTCGGCAACACTTTGTTTTAAAATGGAAAAACAACATTCACACGTTTTACCACAGGATCCATTCCTAGGCACAAATTTCTTGGCAGAATGCATAGATGTGAGTCAGCAAAATGATGAACTAGTCAATGCTTTTTCACACATTATTAGTTATTATTAATGTACCCTTTCGTACACCCTATGTTTGTAAATAGCATCCTAATCTATTTAATCTAGTGTGAACTCGAAGACCTTTTGTGACGCACACCCTACTATTCTATAAACATTGACAATGACCCTTTTCATTCACATTGAAACTCTCTTCTCATTACAGTGACCATTGTCTTCTCTCTACATTGCAAGTTCTACCTAGAAGCTTGATCATGGCTAAACATGAAAAATCAAAACCTGGGTGTTTCTCTGGATTCTTACACGTGCTTCTTTGTGCAGGAAATGGAACTAGTCCTCCTGTGCATCCATCTGATAATGTTACAGAATTAGATGAAACAGAAGTGTTGCATTCTAACAAAGATGCAATTGTTGATGATAATGTTGCTACCCCTGGACTAGTGGCAAGGCTAATGGGGTTGGATTCACTTCCAAATAACAAAAGGGTATTGAAAGGAGCAACCCCTGATTCTGTTCCACGAAGTAGATCAGTGAACTTTGTGGATTACTTGCTTGAGTTTGATCTAGGACAAACCAACCATCGCCGAGTGAAAACCTCAGCATCGTTTAGAGAGGTTCCTTCATTGGTTCAGAGGCAAAAGAGTGATCTTTCTGTGCTTTATTATGATGATAATGCGTGTAAGGATCAAGAAGCTCGAACTAACTTGAGGAAATGGGAAATGGGTTTGGGAGAATTGAAGCAGAGGAAGAAGCAGGGGAGTAAGAACAAGGAGATTGTAAGAGAGAGGGTGAGTATGAAGAAGGAGAGGGATCAAGGGAAGAACAAGAAAATTTCCAAGTTGAAAAATGAACCAAGAAGGGTCCCTTCTTCTAAGCATGGTTCTAAGGTTCGAAATCATGGTGAAGGTAAAGATTTGTCCAATGTGTCCACAAACTCCAAGAGTTGTAATTGTAGTTACAGATATAGTAGTGCTGCTTCAAGCTCAAGCTCAAGCTCTTCATTGCTAAATAGGCACAAGAAAGGGTTTGTTGAACCGAAAATCAGGAACAACATAAGAAACCAGCGGTCACCAAAGAAGATAGAAACTGAATCCAGCTCGGAAAATCTCAGTCCAGTTTCAGTTCTAGATATCAATGACTATCCTTTCCTATATGGAACTGATTTTCTAGGTATGTTTACTCAATCCCTTATTATTTTCCTTTTTTTCAGTTTGTTAATAATGGTTAAATTGAAATTGAATCCTTGTTGCAAGGTTCTTTGTTATCAATCTCTTCTGCTCATTTATAAAGGAAAGAATCCCAAAACATAGCTTCTAGAATTATCTAAATCATGCATTAGAATGATAAATTTACAATGGTGTAAACCTTGTACTCCTTGATTTTATTTGTATTTAACAAATATGTGACTAATAAATTAGAATTATTAGATATAAGAGATATTAATGACTAGTCGTAAGCATAAGAATTGTGCAAATAATTATTGATCTAGTGGCGACCCAAATAGATTTTAGGATTTGACTTGCTTAAAGGGTAATAATTCAATTCTTAGGAGTCGTTCCAAGAAAAATGGAGAGACACAAATCTAAAATCGAATTACTTAAAAAAAAGAATTATGCAATAACAAGTTGATCTTTCCTCACATTATAGTATACTTTCAAGTTTATTTGAGCTTCACTATAATTAAATTTATGATTATTGTTATTGCAGATGGTACAAGCGGCGAAGTGTCAAAGTCAAAGCACAAATCTTCATTGCTACAGTATTTGGGTGATGGTGTTGAAGAAAAAGCAGACAATAATAAAGGTTATGCTTCCTACACTGACGCCAACAGGGAAGCAGAGATTTACTCTGAATTAATGCTGAAGCTTCGTACTTTGACAGAAAAGGATATAAGAGAATCAGATTGCACTCCAAATCGTATGTTTGAGACTAAAAGCTTAGAAGAAATTTGTTTGGTGTTAGAGCACAAAATTTTCGACCTTCTATTACATGAGGTCGTCAATGAAGTTATAGAACTTTCTTGTTGAGAATTTTGTCATCTTGGTGTGTTAAGTATAAATAGAGAATAATATTTTGTGGTATTTTTGAAAATGAATGTTTCTATTATTCTACATGATAAGTAGAACTACACTTTAAGTGTGGAATAAACTGTGTCATTTTAATCAATTTTTCTTTAAGCTAAAGAGTCTTAGAAGAAGAAGAAAGACAAAAATCATGTTATTTAGGTTTTGCTCATTTTGTATGGTGATATTGATCAATGTAGAGATGTTTAGCAACTCAAACTTGGGTGGATTTGGTTTGGCTATTCGTTCTTTTTGGTTTTTGGTCAACAAGACTATTCCTCTGAGTTAAAGCCAGTGGAAGGGGAAAGGCAAAATCCACTTTAGGCCCAACGAAATAGCAGAAGACTCGAAACGGTTATCAATATGGTCAAGTTACTGGATCAATAAGATATTGGTTTAACCCGAGTCATTGATTTAACGGGTTAAACCGGATATACATAAAAGTATATAATAACTAATGGGCTTTATTAGTCTCCTTTTACATAAGATAGTTATCTTATGTTGTAGAGAGAAAATAGAGAGGTCCCACCATTATAAGAAAAAGAAAAAAAAGATAAGGTGCGAAAATCGAAATGAGAGAACATGAGAGAAGTTGTCTTATGTGAAATGAGAATAATATTTCCCATAACTAATATGTATAAAAATAAGGGAAATGCTTTTCTCCTTTCACATGAGACAAGATTTCATTCCTACACATACATCGACTTCCATGCCAAGCTTTTGTTTTTTTTTTTAAATTACTAGTGCCATTTTTTTGTCTCAGTAGGAGACAATTCTTCTCTCCTGTTAAAGGAGAAAAGTATTCTCCTAAAAATAATCATATTATATGTAGGAGAAATATTTATCTCATGTTACATAAAAAAACTTATCTCATGTTACACACCATCGAAATCTGAGCCAACATTTCTTTCTTTTTTCTTCTTTTTTTTAGTTGTGGGACCCACCTAAGTATGTCTCTACATGAGACAATGTTATCTCATGTAACATGAGAAAAGCATAGTCCTATATGTAATAACATGTTGTGACTTAATAGTTGATTATGAAACTGTTGCGAACTCGGCAAGTACACCGGTCGTAAGTAATAAAGTGATAAGAAAAGTTGTTGATCCCACGAGGATTGATGACCAAACAATAATTTATCTATTTAACTAAAGTTGGATCGATTATAAAAGGATTTCTTGAGAGTATTGTAATTAAATTAAAAACAGAATTTATAATATTTTAGAAAATTAATTCAGAATTAATAAACTAAATTTGGTTTTGAATTTTAATAAAAGACATAGCCAGGACTCGACTTCTCCAATGGTTTCGTAACGAATCTGCTTATTCTTATGATTATATTCAAGATCAAGTTATTAACAGTTCTTTCTATATTTGATCAAATCTCAATCCCTTGATAATCTAATCCTTTACTCTAATCAAAAGCCTAATCTCTTAGTATTTTTTCATAAAATAAGCACTAACGAAAGAACCTATGGTTCCGTCTCGCCCTAACGCAAGAACCTACAGATTAATTGCATAACTTAAATTAAGAACATAAATCATAAGAGAAGCAAATAGCGTTAAGAACTCATTGGTTCCGTCTCGCCCTAACTACTTAAAGAAAATTAGCCGAACATAGTCAGGAAAACAAGAATAGATGAAAAGAAACTAAAATTCATAAAAAGGAAAATAAAACCTGGTCTCCTCGGTGAAACTTTGACCGTTCCTCCGCCTTCTGAATGCGCTCCTCTGCCTCGTCTTTCCCCCAATCCAAGAATGAATGGAATGAGCCCTAACGTGCGTTTTTATAGAGATAAAAATGGGCTTTTTAATTTGGACCAGGCTCGCTGAGGATTAATTTTTGATTAATTCTTTATTTTTCTTTATCCTTATACTTTGCAACTGCCTTTATCTTTCTTGATTGCAATTTGTTATTTTAGACCTGAAACAAACTGAAAAGAGATTAGAATCTTATCTAGTTGTTAGAATCTTAATATCTTTTGGATTTATTAATTAATATTATATTTTTAATTATTTTAATTATTATTTGAACTATATTTAACAATAGAAACATAGTGTCTTGGACACTTATCAAATCATTCCCAGATTTACTCATTGCTGTCCTCAGCAATGAATTAAATTAAAAATATGGAATAATGTAAGCATGCTTGATATAAAATGAGACGGTATATTAATTTATAAATGATCAGACTTAGGTAGAAAATAATAGGATTTTTAAGAACCAACATTTAACCAAGCAGCCTTGAAAGTCAGCAAGTTATAAAATCAAAGCATGAGTTCTGTCAATCAAGCATAAAAACTGAATTTTAACATATCCCTCAGTGGATATATCAAGTCACTCATCACTCATGTGTCTAAAGGTAAATGTTTCACTCAAATTTTTCACTGTATCAATATTTTCATAGGCTTGATAATATTCTCACTTTTCACAGTTAATTCACACGCACAAAGGATCAAGAGGTCTTTATTCAGGTTATAATGGGGCTGAGCTAAAGGTATGATAAATAAGGAAAAACTAGTTAAAACATTGAAATACAGAAAGACCATGGTAAAGTGTAAACACTCAAACAATAATATGTTTTCTCTTTTCTTTCCTCCTTTTTCTTTTTCAGCACTTTTATTTTTTTTTCTGTATTTTTCTTTTTCAACCTCGAATACTTTTCTTTTTCATTTTCATTTGCATTTTTATTTGCATAGAAACAATCAATATTTTTCTTTTTCACCATTTTCTAACCTTTGCTTTTGCTTTATTCACCTAACCTTCTTTTCACTACTTTGAATTACATGATAAAGTACTCATGTTTACACCCTACCATAAAATTTCTATAATCCAATCTTATTTAAGGTAAATGTGTATGAAGAGTGGCTAATTAAGACAACATGTATTAAGAACAGAAAAGGCTTAGGCTCAAAGGGTTAAACAAAGGATATCATAATGGTTGGCTTTTTGGCTAACTAGCTAAAACAATAAAATGCCTCAATCATTTCAAACATACATGCAAACAACTATTTTAAGGAGAAACAAAGCAAGTTCTGGAAATATTTTCAACAGTAAAGTGCACACTGAAAAGAAATTTCTGTTTAGGCTCAAACCTCACGGTTATATGTGTGCAATTCAGTAATTTATGCTCTTTCTCAATCACTCATACTGCAATTTCATTATTCTTACTGGCTCTTAGACTAACTCAATCAATGCTTATTCCTAAAATAAAACATATTCTAAGTCATCACATCATAAATTAATTTTTTACTGACTAATTCTAACTTAGCATGATTCAATAATTCAGACAGAGAAAAGAAATAAAATAAAATAAAGAAGAATAAGGAAAGGAATTTTCCCTGTTTTTCTGAATTTTTTTTTGAAATTTTGCAGCTCTTCACAGAGATCATAGTTGTACCAACTGCTACTACTGCTACTATATATATGGTGCGGTGCGTCCCCATTCTCAGATTTAGGAATTTGTTGTCCTCAGCAATTAATAAATCAAAAAGAAAGAACTGCACACATCAACTCTAAAATATCATCAGATAAAGTCAGTAGTAGCAATCATGCTCACAACAGAGTGAGAAAAATAAAAGTTGTACATCACAGAGTCATCACTAATCAAAAAAGATAAACAAAAGAAAAATAAAACTAAAATGGTCCTAAAAAGAAAAGAAAATATGCTGGCATCATAAATAAAAAGCAATAAATTCTTAGGTTGCCTCCTAAGAGCGCTTGTTTAACGTCATTAGCTTGACGTTACATCTTCATTAGTCATGGCGGCTTGTAGCAGGAATTTAAAGATGATGCCATTCCTTTTATCATAAATATTGCTTTGCCGTAATAGTACTCTCGTGCATATGGGCGAGAAGGTTTGGTCTCAAGAACTCTAAACTTAGTCTTGATGTGCTTTCCCTTGCTCTTAGGCTTTGCCATCTTTACCTTCGGCTTGCAACTTTCATTTGGCTTATGATCTTTCTTTTCTTCCTCTTCAGCCTTCTTTTCCTCAATAAATTTTTTTTTCTCTGGTTGAGTTGTAGGTGGTGGAGTTTCTTTTTCAAACATTTTAAGAATAACCCTTTCTCCTTCCACCCTTAAGATCAATTCACCTTTAGGCACATCAATTAGCGCTCCGGAGGTTGTTAAGAAAGGTCTCCCAAAGATCATGGGAACAGTAGTGTCCTCTACTATATCTAAGATAACAAAGTCCATCGGGAAGATGAACTTGTCCACCTTAACAAGTATGTCCTCTATTACTCCATATGTTTGCTTGGTGGAGCGGTCAGCTGGTTGCAGAATCATATTGATTGCTGTAAGGACCCGCACCGTTAATTAATGAAGATAATTAAATAAATATGAGAATTAAGAAATAATTCTATAATTGACCCTAATAATTTTGAGAAGGCTTAAATAATTATAGAAAGTAATTATTAAGGTTGAAAGTCGCTTTTCTGATGAAAAGTGCAGATACCGGTTCTGCTACTCGGTATAAATGCGTACCGATGAAGTATCCCGGAAAATTATGAAAAGTGTGTATATGTCACTAGAATAATATATAGGACATGTAAAACAAGTTTCAAGTTAAAATAATGAGAACTGGTGCCAGAACTGATACTGGCTATGGAAAAGCGCGTACAGGAAAGGTGCTGCGAAAAATAAAATAAAAATATGATAAATCTTGGAAAAATGATTAGGTTCAGAATCCCAATTTTGAGATTAAAATGCTAAGCGTAGCTATTATTGCTAATATTGTGTGATTAATATTAAGTGGGCTATAAATAGCCACTTGCACTAAAACCTAGGTCAGATTTTGATGAGTCTACGTAGAGGATTCTGATGCATTTGGCTGCCACCCTTCTCCTTCACCAAGCAATGGCCTTTTCTTCATGAAACCCTTCAATACACCACTTTTATGAGAGATTATCCACCTCTAGTCTTGTAAACACTGAGTAGTTGGCTTGTGGGTGAGTGATGTGTTTCATTATGTGATTTTAAGCTGCTGTGTGTGGGGTTTTTGTGCTGAGTTTGGGAGTTGGGTTGGTTGAGGCCATTGTCATGGCATCTTAGGCTTCAAGAAGCCACCTTGGAGTGTAAAGGACCCACCTTGTGTTGCATTTTCGTGGTTCCTTAAAGTCAATACCTTGGAGCTGTGTTGGAGGCTCCAAGTCAGTGCCTTTTTTGGAGTTTTAAGCCTTGAAAGGTATACCACGATCACACTTTGTCATTTTGAGGTTTTAAGCTTGTTTAATCGGTTAAAAAGTAAAACTTGGATCATTTTAGTAAAGGAGTGTGTTTCTGAGTTC